TTTTTATAAGTTTTTAGAAAACTGTCTTAATCAATTTTAGAGATAAAACATTACCTCCAATGATGGGGTTTAATGACTTAATAAAATGTTTACTTCTGATCCAGCAGGATTCATTCATCTAAACATACTTACATCTTTAGCACCCACCAGGATGAGTGATTGACAGTCTGTGTCTGACACTGTCGTACAAAACACAATACTCCGGTGCAGCTATTGCCCTGTGGACTTTGTCCTTGAAAGGCTTGTGACGAGCTTAATTGCCCATTGGCGATTTCTATGTCTAAAATTCCCACAGAAATGATGATGTAGCACTGCCCTTTGGTTTTGATTATTCATCAAACTTATTAAAAAGACTTCATGTTCTCATCACAAGAAAAAACAATGTAACCACGTATGGGGACAGATGTTAGCTAGACTTACTGTGTTGATTACCTGGCCATATGTACAAATATCAAGTCATTATGTTGTACACCTGAAACTAACATAGTTAGGTGTCAATTCTATTTCAATTAAAAAAATAATAAGTACACAAAAATACATGGATATAAAAAAAGACAATAACTTTAAATCAACGTCTTAAAGGAAGAAAACTGTCATTTTTTTAACATAGGGCACGCTTTAGTTTTAAACATTTATACACTGAAAATTATATTTTCATAGAAATTGAAGGACACTGTACATTTTTTAACATTGTTTTTACAATCACAAGAAGATTAACTTTAGATATAAAATAAAATAAAATAGTCTGTTCTATAGCAGCAAAAAGAAAATAAACTTTTCCAGTGGTGATAGGAGCACAGCTGTCTCCCTGAAGTTTTAGAACACTTCTTAAGTATGGGAATACACTTAAGATCGTCTTCTGCACTAGACTCAGACACCCACCGGGATATTTGCCTCTATTACGTATACTTGGCACGTCATCATACCTTGCAATCTGCTGTCTTTTTCTAGGTTGTTATTGTCATATTTGATCTTTCTATCATTGCAATGGTAATACTCTTGTTAGATTAAATGTTTTTTGATCAGCCTTGCCCATAGCCCCAGCTGGCCACTCATAGCCCTAATGCATCCGAGGAGATTGAAAGAGATGAACGCCTCCATTTCTTTGTATGTCCGGTATAACTGGATTCACTCAGTGTTTCCCAGGAGATCTGCTGCCTTTGTAAGGGTTTCTCTACTCTTCACCGTCAGGATTGCTGCTTTCTTGTCTTCTGCAGTGTTTCATCTTCCATAGGGATCTCCTCATCATGCTTTTATGGTCCTTTTTACCTCCTATTCTTGGCTTTTGCATTTTGAATATGCTGATGAAAAGTCCTGCCTATCATGATGAGCTCAAGGGGACATGTTTTGCTGAGAAAAGAAACTTACAGCTGGGCCTCTTGCTAAGTGGCAGAAGTCTTCCCTCTTAGGACTCTTCTGGAGCATTGGCGTTCAGAGGTGTTCTCTTACTTTTGGATATCTGGACCACTATTGGCAAGGCTGTTGGCTCAGTCTGGACACCTTCTGCTAATAAGTACAGGTGCTGATTGATGCTCCAAGTGCAAAATCTATAGAGATTAGTGAGTCCTCAGACTTCAGGAGTCTCCTGCCCAATGTTGAGAATGACCACTGTTCTCTAAGAATCAGCAGCTTAAAACTATTGGGCCGGGGCCCGCCCTGTGGCCGAGTGGTTAAGTTTTCATGCTCCACTTCGCTGGCATCAGGTTTGCAGGTTTGGATCCTGGGCACGGATCTAGCACCACCTGTCAAGCCATGCTGAGGTGGCATCCCACATAAAGGAACTAGAATGACCTACAACTAAGATATACGACCATGTACTGGGTGTTTGGGGAGAAAGGAAAAAAAAAAAGAGGAAGATTGGCAACAGATGTTAGCTCAGGGCCAATCTTCCTCACCAAAAAAAAAGGGCCTTTCCTGAGCACCCTATAAAACATACTCCTCCTATAATTAAAAACAACAACAACAATAAAAATTCTTGGGCTGAGTGGAGCAAACACCCTCAGCCTGAGTTCACAGCAGTGAACCATAATGGCACAGGACACAGAAACATGGCAGCTGGCAGATGGGCAGGCCCTTGACTACCCTGAGAGATTGAGTGTGCTGGTCAGCAAGATCACATTTATATCTTGTCTAAAGTGTGTCCTTTCCCTCAAGAGCAAAAGCTTTTCCTAGTTTTTCATCGGTGAACTACATCCTTTTCAGAGTGAAACAAGGTGCTACCTCATCTGTGAGGTGAAGAGCCCCAGGAGCTGAATAGTCCATGGTGAGTGTAAGCCCAGCTTTTAGAGCTCAGTGAGCAAAGCAGACTGGATATTTCATGCCAGCACTGCTTGTGGTAATTACGGGATCCGTGGATCACAAGGCTCACAACTTGTATCACAAGTTCTACAGGAAAACTGGCTGATGCTGATTTGGCTCTGCTTACCATTTGCTGAATTTATATCTCGTCCTACCAAATTCATTTTTTGAAAAGTCATTACATGGTGCACTTTCACTATTCCAATGAGATTACTGTGCTGACCAACTTTTGGAGTAGAATAGCTAATTAAATGTGTTTTTCAACTACACTATTGTATATGTTGGTCAAGCTTTTTATTTATTATGATGTTAATGCTGCCCGTGAGACGTCATCAATATTTCTCCCAGTGGGCCATTAATATTTTAATTTTGTCAAAAGTCTTTTGCCATATAGAAGTTTTTAATTTTTATGTAATGAAATCTGTCTTTTCCTTTGTGACTTGAGTTCCTTGACCTACTTAGGAAGGCCCCTCCCACCCCAAGATTATTTCTTTTAATCCTCCTATAGTTTTTTAGGACTTAAGATTTTAAAATCTTTACTCCTTTTATAGTTTGTGAAGGGACATAATATATTTCTCAAGCTCTTTAGTTTTCCTTGATTTACATGGATTCAAAAGTTTCCCAGGCAAGCAATTTCTTTAAATTGAAGATGATTTGACTTTGTTCCTGTGAAAGCCTGACCCACTTCTTTTATTTCGAAAGCACTTACTTTGTTTACAGTCTATGTTTATAAGAAAGTTGAATAACTCTGCAAGCCAAGTCTCTAAATAGAGGCTCTAATAAATCCTAAGATGCTGCAGTACGCGGACCTAGGACACAGTTTGATCCCTAAAGCTCTCTCCAATCTACTTCTCGGTGAGAACAACAAACAAAAGGCCTCAGTGTGAGTAGAAAACCAAGTTAATCAAAGCAGGTAAAAGTCCTGTTGCCTCCTTCCAGAAAGCAGAGGAGACGGGTTTTCAGATTATAAGTGACAGAGTTGCCCTTGTGTAGCACAGAACAATTGTGATAAGGCTTTACTCCTTAAGGGCCTAAATAATGAAGACAGTGGAACAACAGGACTGAAGATGAATAAAAAGGAAGCTTTAGCTTTGACGCAAAGAATTACATCAGTCCTCCACAAGACCGAAGGTTCTCAATTTTTAAAGCGCTTCCTTTTAGCAGTGCCTAACCTTTCATTATCTGTGACAACACATCAAGTGAGCAACAGTACAAAGGATGCATGTGATTTCGAAATGGCACGGTTGGGCCGACTGCAGCTGCCCGCGTCTGTAGCATGGAGGCGGGACCAGGGAAGACGGTAGGAGCTAGCGCTCTATCCGCATCGCAGGCCGCTCTCCGTCTTCCGCGGGATCAGTCTGCGGAGAGAAGGTCCTCCCCACCTGGAAGGGCCCGGGCCACAGGTGTCCACGTGTCCGAGCCTCGGGCCGGGCATTCCAGGTGTTGAGTCACCGAGACGGCGTTCATGCGACATAAGTATTCTTTGATGACGGAGATGGCAGGGGCGCAGGTGCCAAGGTAAACCGCTGGCAAAGGTGACTGAGGTTGACTTAAGGCAGCCAAGCAGGGCCGGGGCGGGGCCGCGGCCCCAGCCCCGCAGGGACTGCATTTAAGTTGGAGGCAAACTTCAAGCCTCCATGTGACATGTGCGGACCCGTCGCTGGTTTTAACTCTGAGAACCCAGCTGTGCGGCAGGACTCCTGCCAGCCGAGAGATCGGCCTGCCCCCGCGCGGCTCCCACCCGAGCCCACAGCGGTATTGCTCCCCCCAAGTCCCTGCCCGGCCCCCGTCCGCCCCCGCGCGGGCCACGCGCCGACCCCAGCGCTCCGCCATTCATCAACCGGTTCACACCGGTGGCGGCCGCCGCGCGCTGACGTACGCAGGGGGCGTGGCTCCGCCTCCGCTCGTCCGCGCCCGGCCGTGATTGGTGGCCGGCGGGGCTCACGTCGCGCCGGCTATAAAAGGGCGGGCCTGTGACGCAAGGGCGCCTCGGCGCGCGCATTGGCTGCCCCGCCCGCAGGCCGGCTTGGGACGGGCTCTCCGCGGAGCCGCTCGCTGCATGGTAGAGTCTGGTGCCCCCGCCGCCGCCTGCCGAGCCGCAGCCGCCCCGCCACCGCCGCCACCGTCCCCTGCCCTGCCGCCGCTTGTGTCGCCGCTGCCTGTATCGCCGCCGCCTCGGGACCGGCTGTATGATTAGGCCACAATCTTCAATGAGTAAACATAGCCCTGTGAGTATCGGGCGCGCCGCCGCCGCTCGGCCGGCCCGCCCCGGCCCCCCCGGGCCCGCGGCGCCTTTGTTCGGAACCCGGCGTCCGCTCCCGCCGCGGTTCCGGGGGCCGGCCGGGAGGGCCGGGGACCGGCGCGGCGCCGCGGCGGGGGGCGGTTGGCCGCGGGGCTCCGGCCCTGAGTGTTGCGCGCCGGGGCGGCGGGCGGGCCTGCGCGCCGGGGGCGGTTTGGGCCGCCGCAGCGGGCCGGGCGGGGCGCACAAAAGCCGCTTTGTGACCGCTGCCCCCACCCTCGGCCCGGCCCGGGCGCCCGGTCGGGCCCGGCGGCTCCGGCGCCCCGCGGCCCCTTTGTCTGGCCGGCCGAGCGCGGCCGTAGAGCGGAGACGTGGCCCGGGGAGGGGCGCGGGCTGCGCGTGTCCCTGCGGCCGGCTCGGAGGGCGCGGCGGCGGCGGCGGGGCGCCCGGGCCAGGCCGGGCCGGCGTGCGGTGGGCGGGGCGCCCGGCGGGGTAACGGTCTGGGCCGGGGCCGGGAGCGGGCCCGGCGCCGTGCAGCCTCTCTTCTGCTCCCGGCCGGCCCGGCGCTCCGACAAGATGGCCTCGGCGCCGGCGCCCGCCTGAAGGCGCCGACCCCGTGATTGCGGGCCCGCGGGCGGGTCCCTGCGCCACCGCCGCGGGCGCCGGAGCGCGCTCGGCCAGGTGAGGACGCGGGCTGCGAGCCCCGCCCTGTCCCTCGGTCCCCACCTGGTAATTCGAGCTGTTCCGGATTGACGCCCCACTTCGGGCTCTCGGTGATGGGAACAAGTCGAGTCTTGTCCCTGCCCTGGGGCACGTCTGTGGAGACAGGGCCCTGGCCTGAGCGCCCTGGGAGCCGCCGGGGCTGCTGTCGCGCTGGAGCCAGGCGTCCCCGGCCGGGCACCAGCCTGCGCTCTCGCTGCCAATCTGGGACTGGCCCTGGGTGGCGCCTTTTAATCGGGGAGTGTTGAGAACTGCCCTGCAATCCTTAGTGTGCTGTGTTGTTGCCTCCTGTTGGCTGTGGCAACAGCAGCCACCCGGAGCCAGAAGTCTGAGGTTTATCTTCTGTCCGCGGTGAAAGCCTCGACCATTCCAAGAGTATTAAGTTGTTGTTTGCACTGCGCTTGGAACCGTCGGCCTGCTTAGGATCCAGATTCTGAGGCAATGCTTCCTGTTACCTCTTTTATACGAGTTTTGTTCGATGGCAGTAAATCAGCTGAAAACGGGAAAGCTAGATCATTCCCAGGAATAAGCAGCGCTTTACCCACGCTTTCTTCTCGATGCGTTACCTAAGGTAGAAGGAGACGGGGAACACACTCCGGAGAACTCTGACAAGGCGGTTAGACAGGTCGATCGCCTTGACTGCAGTCTGAGCAGCAGACTTCATCCTGGCGAACAAGTTGCTCTTCTCCCTCCGTGTGTATTGTGATTGTACGCAGCTGATAAGTGGGCGGGAAAAAATTCCTTGGTGTTCCCAAACTGCCTGTCGTGGATAGTTTTTCCTGGGGCGAGGAAATGGGGAATGGGCGAGTGTCTTCGGCAGAACGGGAAGATGTTAGGTATCACTTCGATGGAAGTCCCCCCCAGCCACTGGGGGGCTCCACGCAGTCAAAATAGCCAGTTCACTAAATGAATTATTTCTGTAGTTTTCTTTACTTCCGGGGGAAACCTGAAGGGATATGGCCAGACTCAGCTTAACAGGAATTTGAGCTGTTAAATTTGGAAATAGTGGTTTGAAATACTTTCTCATAAATCAGCTTTCAACGGAAAAAAGATATTACCTGGAAATCAGAATACCGAGATAACAGTCATTGCCTTTAACAGCTTTACAGATGACTTCTTTAATTCATTGTACGTCTTTGGAAAGGTGCCAGAATATGCTTTTTATTCTAAGGAAGTAATATTTGGGATTTGAGGTGAAAGTGTAATTGAAATTATTTCCAGATTACTGCAGTCTCTATTCACTGCAATAGTGAAGTTCTTAGTGGTAATTTAGTCACTAATTTTTAACCCAGCAACCTCTGAGAGCTCATTTGAACAAATTTGGAATAATGAAAGTTACCTTCCTTGTGGGATGACCTTTTAAGAAATGACTCCTGTGGCTGGTTCCTTTGTTTTGACAGAAAAATGAATGGGGGTGACTTGATGTTTTCTGTGATCTGCCAGATCTCCATATGAATTATTCCTCAAATTTTAGCAAAGTTCTTTTAGAAACTACAACTAGCATGGAACTCTATTTAAAATGAAAATAAGAGCAGATAATTTGAATGTAATTTATTAGGTAATTTACCCATGACAATACACATGGGTAAAGTGTTTGGGGCAGTGGCCCGCACTTGGTGCTTCTGTTAACCTGCTGTTAACATGTCTTAGTCCTCTCTATTGCCGAGCATGCAAGTTTCTTATAAACTACATGGAAGAAGAGGAAGTTAACGTCGATGTGTTGTATACCTGTTCTGAGGAGATCTGTGAACATTCAGTTAATATTGGATACTGGCAGAAAACTAATGTAGTATTTTAAAGGGGAGCTTGGGAAAAATATGCGTACATATTTATTGCTGGTAGTGGTCACCTTGCTTTTGAGACCTGTGAAAGGAATGCAGGGTAACTTCCACCACCCCAACAGCACCTCCTTTTACCCTTTTAATTAGATTCCAGTTTTAGGCTGGATAAGTGAAATTTTGGTTTTAGAATACAAAAGAATATTAAAATTATGACTATCTTTTATAGTTATAAATGAGAATATTTTAAAAATTTATAAACATAACATCTCATATGACAAGTTGACTAACTTCCAGCAACTCAGATGAGGAAAATGTTAAAAGGGAATGATAAATTAATAGGTTAAGAATCAAATGAGATAGTGTGTATGGAAGCATTTTCAAAACTAGTTTCTTTTTTTCTCTTAAGAATATGCTGTTTGTCTTTAAAGGAGTAAGTAAATTATGCAAAGGCTAACAGCTTCAAAGTATTCATGGTTTGTGACATGTAAAAATATTTTGTTAGTTGGAAGGATCATTGTAGAAAGTTGTACATGTAGTTTATAACAATGTAAAGCAAACAACCAACTATTAAAAGGAATAATTAGTAGAAGGATATCTATAAGGGATATTGACCATATGGTGGTATTTTTTCAGGGGTCTTTGTACTGGATCAGTCATTTCAATTTAAAGTAATCTATTTGTGAATGCTTGCTTTATGCTTATTGATTTAATCTGTAATCGCTTTTGTATTTTGTGGTTCAGGTAAAAGTTGTAAAGGTAGCTCGGGCCCAAATTTGGAAAGGTAGTTGTCCACTTAAATACTATGAAAGCGTGTCCTGTTCGTTTTGAATTGGAAAACAACGTTTGTCTCTCTCTCTCTCTCTCTTTTAAACAGCAGTTCTGTGGTGTTCTTGGTCACACATTTATGGAGTTTCTGAAGGGCAGTGGAGATTACTGCCAGGCACAGCACGACCTGTATGCAGACAAGTGAACTGTAGAAATTCATTACTACTCCACCAAGAAGCCCCCGTAAGAGTGGTTAACCTGGACACAGAAGTGTTGAATTGAAATCCACAGAGCATTTTACACGAGTTCTGACCTGGATGGGGTAAACCTCAGTGCACTTCCTTTCTCTTGCCTCAGTATTACTGGATTGAAGAATTGCTGCTTCTTGTTAGGAGGTTCATTTCATTTCCCATTACCCCCAGCTTCATACTCAAAGCACTGAGAATTTCAAGTGGAGTATATTGAAGTAGACTCAGTTTCTTTGCATCATTTCTATATTCAGTTTTTTAAATTCTTTCATAACCCTACTGAGTGTTTTTAAACTAAATTAACATGGCTCGAATGAACCGCCCAGCTCCTGTGGAAGTCACATACAAGAACATGAGATTTCTTATTACACACAATCCGACCAATGCAACCTTAAACAAATTCATAGAGGTAAGGTTTGATGCTTTGTAATGTCTCAAAGTGATTGCAATTTAATAGTGGGGCTTTTTATCTACCAAAATATTCTTTTGGAAAATGTGAGATGTTATGCCTGTAGTTCTAACTCCCAAAAATGAAATATCAGTGACTTCTTTATGTTAGAGGTAAATTGTTGTATACCTTTTAACAAGGATATGTACTGGAGTTAATTTGGATTTGTAAGTTACTGTCTAGTTCTTCCTGCCTCGGAGTTTGCTTAATTTAAATTTATACGTGGACAGTATAGTACTATGGCACTCGCTTATCTTATAAGACATTTATAGGAGGAAGGCTGCCAGTTACAGATTGTTCATATATCCACTTAGCCTGATGACTAATGCCGTAAACCAAAGTTAATGTCTTGACCTCATTTGACATTTAGAACCCAATTTTTAGCTATTAATTCTGCTGCTTCCTGGTGGTTGCTAGATGAACTGTTTACCAGCCCTCTCTCTGACTGTGAGGAAGCAATACAATGCTGAATAATGTATTTAGGAGAGTACGCACTTTATTATATAAATATGTACAGGTGTTCAGAAACAGCAGCTGGGCCTCCCAGATCATAGAAATACTTTTATTTTTGATTAGCATCTGTATGCTTTTTAAATGCCGGAAGAGTTATAATTAGTAATAACGCATTATGAGTCTTAAAGCCTGTAGTTTGAAATGGTGTGGGGTGTTTTACACTGTATTTTTGGGATTTTAGTGTCTTTGAATACACCTTTAAGGCTCTGAATTACACACTGTACTGTAAATGAGCAAAAAGTTTAAGGAGTTAATGTAATTGAGTCAAGTCAGATGACTTGATAGTCATTAATGTTACTCTTGGTTCTATTTACCTTGGTCCCTGAGTGCTAATCGACTTTTTTTAGTGCTTCATCTCCACCCAGCCAGTGTTACCGTGAGTGTTAAACAACTTTAGTATTTGAAGGGCCACAGGATTTAAAACAAACACAAAACTTCTAGTTTATTAAAAATATATGTGATGTTTAACATTCCCTTTGTGCTATTCTAGTATTGTCATTTAAAACAGAATTTCTGGGGGCCGGCTCCATGGCTGAGTGGTTAAGTTCATGTGCTCCACTCTTGTGGCCCAGGGTTCAGTGGTCAGGATCCTGGGCGTGGACCTACATACCACTCATCAAGCCATGCTGTGGTGCCATCCCACATAGAAGAACTAGAATGACTTAGAACTAGGATATACAACTATATACTGGGGCTTTGGGGAGAAAACAAAAAGGAAGATTAGCAACAAATGTTAGCTCAGGGCCAATTTTCCTCAGCAAAACAAAGGTTGCCTTAAAAAAAAAAACCGCATGAGATTTTGCTTCCCTGTTAAACGTACATAGGTTACACCATTTATTCCCTGGTTTTCTGTTAACCAGCAATACCTATTGGAGAGGTGATCAAAATGACAAATAGTGACCAATAGTGATGTGGTTATGAAGACCTCATTGTGTTTTTTAATGTATGTTTTATCCAGGAACTTAAGAAGTATGGAGTTACCACAATAGTAAGAGTGTGTGAAGCAACTTATGACACTACTCTCGTGGAGAAAGAAGGCATCCATGTTCTCGTAAGTATTTGATAGTTCCTGTGTGTTTCTGATAGTGTGCTACAAAAATATTCAAATAAACCACTGACTTGAAAAAGCTTAATCTTTCTAAATGGTTAAAAAATTGTGCAGTATCTTAATTTCCAAATAAAGAAAAGGAAAAGCTAAGCAAAGGTTTGAAGTAATAAAAGATCTTTCTAAAGATTCGGCATTTATTTGCATTTCGTTGACAGTGGGGTTTCCTAAAACACGTCGAGCTATGTTAAAATGCTTTTGAAAACATTTGGGTGTTAGAAATTTATGATTATTACTGTGGTGTTTATATGAAAAATATGAAACGTTTATCCTTTTGCCTTAGGACTGGCCTTTTGATGATGGTGCACCGCCATCCAACCAGATTGTTGATGACTGGTTAAGTCTTGTGAAAATTAAGTTTCGTGAAGAACCTGGTTGTTGTATTGCTGTTCATTGTGTTGCAGGCCTTGGGAGGTGAGAGAATTTTTTAAATCCATTTAATAGTGTTCTTAATTCTAGTAAAAACTTGATTGTGACTCCTATAAAGACTCGGTTATCACTTTGTGAATCAATTTGCTTCATTAGGTTAGTGAACTAAATTAAAAAGTAGGTGAATGTAACAGAATAATGTATTCCAGTACAGCTGCAACTAACAAATGCTGTAGCTGCAATTTACACTTGTCTCTGTGGGCAGAATTATTTATAGAATTAATCGTGTGTGCTTGGTTGTTTTGGAACCATTGTCCAAGCTCATTGGGGAAAGGGATTATCAATCCTCTAAAGTGGTCTGTATTGTATATGCTGTACTTCTGATAGAGGGTTCTTGATCCTAGAGGTTCTGATTGAGGAACTCATTACCCAATAGTGCCAAAATATGCATGTTCATATTTGTAATTCACTGCCCCCTCCCCAAAAAAAGTTCTAGTGGAGAAGAGTGAAATGAAAATTGATGGCTCTGTGGGTATTGACATGCAACTGTGTCACAGTATCATTGATAATAAAAAACAGAGAAAGCAAACTTTTCCAGAAGATCTTTAGGAAAGGAGTTTTATGATATTTAAAAACAAATTCTTTTTTTTTGAAGTGGAAAATATTTTTCACAGCTTAGAATTCAGGAAAAACGGTGTGTAATTATCAAGATTTACTCCCTTCCCCAGATTTTTTCAAGATTCCCTTCTAATAATACAAGTCTAAACTTCTAGATTTATTTCTAATCGTTAAGGGCATATTTCAATTTTGGTTCTAGACAAAATTGCGGCTTTGATATGGGAATACTGATATTTAACTTTTTAACATAAGTCAACATTTCCTACAGTTACTTAGATGGGATGGATGGTGAATAAGCGGGCTCCAGGTTGGGGAATGTTTGGAGTGCAGTCATGCATCGTTTAACGACAGGGACACGTTCTGAGAAATGTGTCATTAGGCGATTTTGTCCTCATAGGAACGTCATAAAGTGTGCTTACACAAACCTAGGTGGTACAGCCTGGTAAACGCCTAGGCTGTAGGGTACAGACGTTATGGGGCCACCATCGTCTGTGCGCTCTGTCATTGACCGAAAAGTCCTTACGTGCTACATGACTTTTGAATTTTCTGAGATTTGATTTGGAAAAAATGATTTATCAAAATTCTTACCTTACCAGAGCTCCGGTGCTTGTCGCCCTAGCATTAATTGAAGGTGGGATGAAATATGAAGATGCAGTACAGTTCATAAGACAGTAAGTATTTAATGAATTTCATTTGCATCCTTTTTATTTCCTCGTTGAATGTCAGTGAGTTTAATTATGTAACTATGAAAAAAATTTCTTTCCAACAGCCCATCTGACCGTTATGCTCATTTTTACAGTAGGGTTAAAACCAGGAAATAAAGATCCTCCTTTTTTGCATTCCATGTAGATGCTAATATTACAATGATTCTAAACCAATAATAGTTTTTTGAATTACTGTTTTGCTTTAAATTCTTGACTGAATATGTTGCTTGTTTCTTTGCCTTTTTGTTGAGGGATAGTCAATACACAATAAAATGCACAGGTCTCAGGTAGAGGAGTTGACAGTAACAGCCAAATAAAAAAACCACCACCCACTACACTGTATAGACTATTTTGATGACTTCAGAACGTGCCCTCGTGACCTTTGTAGTCGTCTTCCCTGCCCTCAGAGGCAATCTGACTTATAGTACCGTATCTACCATATATTAGTTTTGTCTTTTGTTGGACTTCATATAAATTCATTTTGACTATGGTAACCGCCACTCAAAAGATTATTAGAAAATAAACTTTGCACTCCCTTTTCCATTTACACATGTATGCCTGTCTCTATTTCTGCATTACGTCACAGTGTAATAATCGAAAGATAAATTGCCGCAAGAGAGGTGATTATTGCCTACAGCCTAGTAAACATTAATGTAGAAGGATTTTGCTTTAATTACTTCATCTTTTGTTGTTTTTCCTTCCAGAAAGCGGCGTGGGGCTTTTAACAGCAAGCAACTTTTGTATTTGGAAAAGTATCGTCCAAAAATGCGGCTGCGCTTCAAAGACTCCAACGGTCATAGAAACAACTGTTGCGTTCAATAAAACTAGGGTGCCTGATGCCATTGCCTAGAGAGGAGCTTGAGACAGGACCTAAGTTATCGTACATGTTAGCCAACCTGTTGGCTTGGTGGCTAAGTCTAAGGAAGCTTCCTAGGAGTATTAAAAAGCAGTTTTACCAGGCCACAAGCTTAACAGAATTGTAGCCTCTATGTTTGGTTTACGATCAACCTGTTTGGACACTTAGCAAAAAGATTATTGCTGTTCAGCATTTAAAATGTATTTATCATTTGTACCAATTGACCTTTTCTGAAATCATGCAGTGTTGAGTTGTGTCTTCAAAATTCCCATGCCAGAATCTTATCAATATATAAGAAATTTAGAAAGATTAGGTGCCAAAATACCCAGCACAATACTTGTAAATTTTTCGTATCCTACAGAAACTAAAATCCCAGGAACTATGAACACTCTGGACCTTGTGTGGTTTATTCCTTCAGCCATTTCAAACATGAAAGTAGGGCCTGTATGGTTACTTGCCTGCTCACTTTACGTTTACATCCCCCACGTTCAGACCAGTGTACATCAGGTTTGCTCAATTTTCTTTTTTTTTTGGATTTTTACCAAGTCTTACAGTTATTATTTAATGTCTTTCTATAAAAGTCATTTTGTGCTGTTATGGGAAACCTCCATTTTGAAAATCTACATTGTACAGAAGCACATGTCTTTAATGTCTCCAGACAAAAAAGCCTTACAGTTAATTTTAATGTTTGCACTTTGGGGTGCAACTTACAGGGAGGGCCTGAAAAGAATGGGAGGGGGCTTTAAGTATTTTTAGTAAAATGTTGCCTTTGTCTTGTGCAGAACATGTAGAATATGCTCTTTAATTTAGTAAATATTTTTTTAAAAGTTAGAGATGCTTTGTTATTGTAGCTAAAGCAATTCTTAATCATAAAATTTCTGAAATTCTTGTAATTTTTTTTCATACTTATCTGAAGTTGTTTACCAACTTATTTTTGTTTGAAGTGTGATTTTTCTTTTCCTTCTCTTCCCAACCTCTCTTGCAAAAACAAAAAGTGGGTTTCTGCTAATGAATTGAGCAGATATCTAATATTTTATATGCCTTTTGAGCTGTGTAACTTAATATTTGGATACTTGATAATTTGTTTTATTATGTAATTGATAAAATGGTGATGTGTATTAATGTTAGTTCAACCATATATTTATACTGTCTGGGAATGTGTGGTTATAGTTCTGTGGGAGAAATAATTTGTCAGTGTTCACCAGCTTGTAAAAATCTAGTGCGAGAGCTTAAACATCTAAATAAATAATGAAATGCATCTATCATCATTGAAATTGTTTTGCTTAAAGTTATCTTATTTTGTAGAAAACGAAATGAATGAATTGCGCTTCAGTTAGTGCCATTTGAAGTAAATTGTGTCCTTGTTTTTTTAACAAATGAAGGATTAAATGAATTTGGCATTTTAGTAAGCTCCTTATAGACACAATTTGTTAGGGTCATGAGAACTGTTTAATATTAAGAGGGGCACTCATTCCATTATAAACTTGCCTTTTTAAAAGTTTAGGTAATTTGAACCACTGTACTATTTTATTTTTATTTTTATTTGTATTTTTGCTTTTTGCTGAGAAAGATTGGCCCTAAACTAACATCTACTGCCAGTCTTCCTTTTTTCCCTCCCCACAGCACCAGTGCATAGTTGTCTGTATCATCGTTTACCAAGGAGAAGCCATGCAGCAGAGGAGGGCCTTGATTTGAAGCTCACTTCCATCCGTTAAGAACGGTTTGGGGCAACTTCTGAGCCTCAGCTTTCGTATTTACAAATTAATCATTACCTACCTTTAAAGGTTTTGAAATTAATTTGAACTTAAGCTTTGGGCACAGGATGGCTTAATAAATGTTAGGTTTCTTTCAGTAATCTGAAATAATTTCCTTTGCATAGCTCATGTTATTCTAAATGGGACAGATATCTTTGGCTTTTTTTTTTTTTTTGATAGTTACAACTGAGTAAAAGACTCAAAATTTGAGTAAAAAAATGATACGTCACCTTGTGTTTTAAAGATTTGCTTCCATCTCTTCATGCCATTTTAGCACTGCAGATAGTTCGTTCCTGAGACTTAGAGCCACGCAGAGGGGACCCGAGGACCTCTGGGGCCGTGGGTCTTTAAATCTTCCATCTTTGGCGATTGGGGCTAGTTATTTAATCTGGCTATCTTTTTTTTCTTTTTTCTCTTTTTCAATATAGCCTATTCTTGAGATAATTTGGGGCAATTGATTACTGTTGTTACACAGCCCATAGAACAGCAGTTGTGTTTATTGAGAGGAGGTGCCATCATGATGAATGAAAAATACCTGGAACTTCAAACATTAAGTGTTTGCAGTGTTGGATTGTATATAGGGTGCTAAAAGTCAATTTACTTTATAAACATCATCTGTACAGTATAAGACATGAGATTTGCTTTTTATCCAAATATTTTCTACCTTGTAAATATGACCAAAGGAATACCCGTAATACATCCTGGGGATTCCTCCTGTCTAATGAATTAAAGTAGAAACAGGAGTAGAGGTCTTGAATTTGAGAAGTTATCAGGTGGTGGTCTAAAATTTGATTACTTGGTTTTCGATAACAATTTCCCACAATAGGATGATGTAAGTAGTGATTTCTTGACTAGGCTTGTCTATAATAGTGTTGCTGACGTGTAAGTAATGTGATTACTGAATCATAACAAAAGAAAATGCAATCTTTTAGTTGAAGGAAAATCCTAGAAATAAGTGTCATTGGTCATTTTGCAGCACACTGCACCCTTCATTTATTATTCCTCCTAATGCCCCCTTTTCCTAGGACAATGCTCATTTATTCCCACACTTTGACACAACTCTATGCCTAGAAGCATCCAGCCCAGAAATGCTATCACATCTAGTCACATCCCCCTTCCAGCCAGAGGACCTCAAGATGGTATTTGTGGTCCCCCAACTTGGCCTCAGAATCTCAGTCTCTGGGATCTGTTTTAAAATGCTGCTCTATTCATTGACAAATATCTACTGTCTGCTAGGCATCTAAGAGTATGACAGAATGGAGATGTTGCCACCAAGTCTGGATTACCAGTGAGTACCCCAGCCCTTTCCATAATCAAAGGAATGCTTTCTATTGGAGTTTCAGGCAATGTAATTTCAAAGGGAAGTGGAAGGATAAGTAACACTTTGTTTTCTATGTAGACAATAAAATTATTTTTAAAGCACAGTTTTGAAAAAAATACATGAAGTAGTGTTTGCGGTTCATGTTTATACTATATGTTCCGTGATTCCTTGAATAAATGTATGTATGCCTCCTTAAACACCTGAATTGAAAATTAAAGACTGGTTTAAAAGTGTCTGACACAATGTTTCTGCATTATATTTGGGGTAAGTAGCCTAAGTAGAATCTTGGAAGGAAAGCAAACAAAGAATATATATTTGTCTTGAATGAATTAAGCTAATTATCTCCATTAAGTTAGGAATGAAAGAATAATTCTATAATTTGATATATATTGCCAGACTAATCAGTCAGTTAGCTATTATGATGGCACCATTTGATAAGTACCATGTCAGGTAGTTCTCATAAATTGATTACAATAATCCTGTATTGTCCCAATTTTATACATGAGGGATATGAGGCTCCCCCTAGATGACTAGCTGACAAAGTGGAAGAGGGCGGCATTCAAACCTGTGTGTGCTCCACCACCACAGCCATGGCCACAGATGCCTGACCGTTTATGTAACCATTTGTTAAAGCGTTTATATGAGTTCTTGAACTCCTGCCTATGGAACTCATTCTCGTTTTCCTTGAAAACAGTGTTCTTTGTAAATACTTTGTGATTTCACAAATTTCTTCATTTAGATTGAACTCTCCTATTTTTGCAGAGAAACCTTTTTGAAGTAAGGCAGGATAGGCTAAGACATGCTGCAGAAACAACCAACCCTGAAAGCGACAGGTTTGTCACAAGCTTCCTGTCCATCACAGTGACCCAAGCTGATGGAGCATCTACTCTCTGGAACAGTGCTAGTTGACAAAAGGCAAGAAGAGCTTTAGAATGTCTCACATGATAATTAAGTTCTTGACTAAAAAATCATGCATAGACAATTCCATTCAACCGGTTGGACAGAACTGGCCGCAGAGCCACCCAGCAGCACGGGAAATGAGATTCTATCGTGTGCTGAAACGCCGGGAATATTCAGCATTACTCGCTGCCACATGAGACTTTATAGACTGGCTTTCTTTTGAGGTAACATTGGTTTATAACATTATGTAAGTTTCAGGTGTACATTATATTTGGAGCGGAGTTATTTTTAAAGAGTATATGCACAGCATCATCCCACATAAGTGAAATATCAAGCATAAGGTGGTAAATTTTCCACGCAACCAAAATAGATATCATGAAGTTTAGGCCCTAAAGTGTGATTAGGGAACCATAGGCACTTAGTAAACCAAATACATCTTTTTTTAGATGTAGCTTTAGCTTTGGTAATTCAGTTTCCTGCAAGACTTAGACATGGTAAATAAGATGCAGAGCACAGGGGAGAGAAGCACATGGGTAAGAGGTAGGTGTCAATCTGACGCAGAGAGACGTGATCATAAAGACTAAACTGAATTTAAAAAGCGCAGCCATTTGCGACGCATCAGTGCTGTGGCCAGTAGCCTTGGGCTGTTGCCACAGTAGACATTCAGGCCATCAGTGTTTCACAGCACAGAACGATTATAGGTATAATGATTACCCTTAGTCATCAAGACTATAAACCATCAGATTTGGCTTTGTATATTTTAAGGCAAGAAATTTTATAATTCATTGTGTTCAAGTGTTGCTCTTACGTATATTATCCAAAAACTGGTGCCATGAATAAGTAAGTTTGGCAAACATTGGGCTAAACTTCGACATTATTTACTGCTGTATTATTTAGAACCTTTAATATGCTAATGTGAATTCTGAATGTTTTCAAGAAGGCAATATAATGTTTAACCATTGTATAAATCAGCGTCCCAGAAGAAAACAGATGGTACACTCACAGTGGGTAATTGAGAAACATTTAATAGAGGGAAGCCAACAAGGGAGACTGGAGTCCTGTTACCACCTCCAGGCCTAGAGAGGCAAGGGAGGGGCAGCAGTTAGCTGAACTGGAGAGAACCGGACTGCCCCGCAGAAGCTGTGACCTCAGAAGGAAGATAGCCAGCCAACTAGTGGCAATCCAATGGGAGGGAGGTAAGAGACCCAGGAGTAAACACCTAGCCTCATTTCCCCAGCCCCGCTAATGTCCTGCTGGTGTCCCCTTCCCCCTCAGCCCTCCTCCCTTTCAGCCAAATGCCAGAGGAAGGCAGAGGGCGAAGGATCCTGTAGCCCTTACAGATCAGCCCCTTGGGCACAAGCAGACGGGAGAAAGTAGAGAGTGGGAGACAGAAAATGTCCTGTCCACTGTGGATTTCCTTTTTTCACAGATGACTGGGACTACGATCATCTGCAGAACACATTTTGGGAAAACTTGATGTTATCCATTTATAAAGATATCCAAGCTGATACACAAACACACACATTTCTTTTTAAGTGACAATGGAAGAATCTACACTAATATGAAACAGCTCATGCAATTTCAATTTAGTGAATCAAGTGATTTTAGGAGGAGTGGAGTATAGTTTATCCAACAAAATGGTAAGATCAAACCACATAACATCCATTTCACTTCTGACTGATGCACTCTGATCACAGAGTTGGTCATTTTTGCAAAAATTTTCCAAGGTTCTAGTTTTTCCAAAGACCTTTATTAATCAGTTGTTATTCAGATAATTTTTTCTTGAAGCATCTACTATGGCATCCGTGTAATTTTTCCCCATTTTTAATTGATTTAACTCTACCAGATACCCAACCGATAATAACTTTCGTTGTGATCTGAGTTCTCCAACATCACTCGCGTTGACTTCATACAATCCTTAAACTTCAGTTGCTTATGTTTGCATTGTGTTGTTGGCTATACTGATTGGCAAGAAAATGACCAACAAACAGGTTTGGATGTAATAGATGCTGCTAGTGTTAACCAGGGAGAAATACTTATATAAAAGACTAACCTTATAAGTGGATGTTCATTAATGAAAATACTGTACTTTTGCTTCTCTAGGGCTTAAATTTACTTGGAGACTCAAATAGTGAGGACACAGCTAAAAAGAGCCCCTCGTTTGAAGGAGTAAGCACCAGAGTTCAGCTCCCATCCGATCTAATGGGACCTGGATGGGTGTGATTCACTATAATTCTTTTATTCAGTTGTCTGTGTTTGTTAAAAACCTGCTCACGCTAGACGCCCACCAATACCGTTG